CAGTTTTGTGCGGGTGATTGACGCTTGTTGCATGCAACGGGCAACAGCAGGCAGTCGATATTTAAGTGGTTGCAACCGCAACGCAGTGCGCGGCTCGGTGCTGGGGTGCTGCAGGTAGGGGAAGAGCGGCAGCTTTTTGTGGCAGCAACTGAACAACTGGCAAGGAGGCAAGCGCGGACAAGGGGCAAGCGGCCATGCGGCCATGTGGCATGTGGTAAATGGTAAATGGCCCCTCGGGCGCAACTTTCGACTCGGGGGCTAAACAGGTGAAATGTTTGGCCAGATATCAGCGGCCTTTCTAACGCTTGCCCCCCGTCTCCCCCCGACTCCTCTGGCACTCCTTTCTCTGTGCCCTGGCTGCCTCCTCCTCTGCCTCTGCCTCTTCCTCTGTTTACTCTCTGTCTTCACTCTGCCACATGCGTGTGTCAACATGCGTGCAACAAGTCGGACTCGGACTCGGAATCGGCGTCGAGTCTCTCCTCTGTGTCTCTTCTGCTTTTGTTTTTGTTTTTGTGTTTTTGTGTGTTTGGGGCGCGGGTGCGTTACACTTGAAAATTTATTACAACTCGATTGCTTGTATTTACCACATTTTTCTGCACACCGATATCGATCAGGAGGCATACACTGAGCGAAAAAGAAGGAACGCTGTTTTTATGGAATATTTCTTGCAGAGAACCAAATATGCAGAGACTCTCTAACTAACTCTTCAATGGAAATATCATGAGAATTATGTGCCCCCAAAGTTGTATTTGCCTCAGAGAGAGAGAGAGATATTTTCATAGTTGGATTGCCTTGAGGAATGAGGGATTGATTGATTGACTGCAGCTATATATTGGCAGCTTACATTCAGTGAAATATTTAGGGCAGAGCTCTTCCTTCAATTCGAAGCAGAGTTCCTTAATTTGGTTGTATCCTTTTGTTTTCTTTTCTTCCAGTGGCACCCCCCCCCATTGGGGGCAGCAGCATTGCGTGGCCACCATCGTGTCATCGCCCACAACAAGGCAGAGGCCGCGACTCCATCGCCATCTCGCATCTGCAATTCCTTTATGCCGCATGGCACCAGAGGGGGGAGGGACTGAGTGCGGGGATGATCGTTGTGTAAATTAGCATATCGTGCGCGTAATCTGGCCAACAGGAGGCACCAGCACCCAGCACTGTGACTGCACCTTTTGGAGTCGACTCCGCATATCCACATATCCCATGTCCTGCTGTTGCGGCATGCGAAGGCGTCGTCACGCAATCTACTTGAGACTTGACCACTGTGTGGGCAGAGCAGAGCAGTCCCCCCCCCTGCCACCTACCCACTGCCATCGTACTGCTGCCCCTTCGGTCTGCTCTGCCCCATTTCTGCGTGTGTCTTTGTGTATGTTGCACTTTAGCTTAATGACATTTTATCAGCTGGAAACAACAGGGGAATCAGCAGCCAAAAAACCAACAACACAAAAATGTTACGCATACGCAGCGTTGCCGGCTGCGCTGGTTATGCCACATAAAACCTGCCACAGAGATCTCTTTTTTATGCAATTGGCAGCCGAAACTATGGCCATTGCTTTTTATAACATTTTAATATGCAAAAGTTTTTGGGGCCGGCGAGTTACTAAACAAAGTGGCAGTGCCACATCGCCAGCTGCCCCCTGCTGCTGCACCTACTGCTACTGCTACTGCTACAGTAGGAGTAGGTCCTGCCAGGCAGCAGCAAACTCCTTTGCAAAATTCCCACTCTTCCATGCATAATGTCTGCCAAAAAGTTACAAAAACTTTTGTGTCGAATGGTCAGGCAGGAGACCCGATCTACCAGCCCCAGATGACACCATGTAAGTGGATTTAATTCCGTTTTTATTGAGTTGATAAAATCCAATTAGCCGAAGGAAAACTTAAAGGATTCCTGGGGCATCCTTTGGGGGCAGCAGCAGCAGCTTCAGCAGCAGGAGCGCCAGAGAAAGAACAAAAAAAGTTTCGTGGCGACACGTTGAAGCCGTCGCATTGTTAACTGTTGACTTTTCTTGCCTTAAACTTTATCCACAAGGAGCTGCTGCATGCCCCACACCCCACACCCCAAAAAAATAAAGGAAACGTTGCAGGACTGGCTGTCTGCTGCTGCTTCTTGTGGCGGGTGTTTCGCATAAAAAATGTATACGAAATCCCTGCACTGCAGCTGCAGCATTACGTGGTTAGCGCTATTTATTATGCAGCAACTGTTTGCCACACTCCTGCCACCCTGCCACCCTGCCACCCCTGCCACAGGGCACTGTCTCCGTGGCACAGTCTCCTCCGCATTGCCAGTGCCAGTGTCTCCGCCGCTATGTGGCCACTATCTTTGCCCCCCCCCTGAGAGGGCCACCAACTGCCAGTGTTGCAACGTGAAGTGTGGCCACCACAGCAAAGAGAGACCCAAGCCAGAGGGTGCTGCCACACAGGACTAATTGCCTTTTAGCCAACGAATCGTCCGCGAAAACATATTGAACAGCAGGCCATACGTTAGAGCAACAGAAGGACCTTTTCTACGGCGGAAAGAGATGGGCAGAAGGGCTCAGCATTCATTTGCCGAGAAAGCATACAGTGAGTGTGGCATGCCACACACCGTGAGATACATTTAAAATAACAGATACTTAGCGGCACAAATGCCCCCAGGGATAAAGCTCGTACTTGCTTAAAAATTCTATTTCTTAAACGTGCCTTTTCTTTGCTCTTCTTTTTTTGGGCTGCCTGCACGAAAAAAAATCCTTGCGGCAGGCCAAGGCCCCCTCAGACAGACAGCAGCCGCCCCATGCATCTCAAAAATATATACACATGTATATATATATGTGCTACGTATAGGAACAGTACGAGTAGAACTATTCTGGGGATGGGGGGGTCCCTCTGTGGCTCTGTGAGAATTTAAGTGTTTTGTACGTGCGCCAACAGCAATTGGCGAAATTCAAAGGCGTGTTAGCATGCCATCAGCAGCAGCAGCAGCAGCAGCAGTAGACTTCACTTGGCAGCAGGACAGCAGCAGAACGGGGCAGAGCAGGGCTGGGCAGGGGAATGTGGGGAGACTGGGGACTGTTGTCTCCTTTTGACCCAGGAATTGAGGAGAATATGTGGAGTCGAATTGAGCGTCTCCCAGGAGGGTGTTTGCGGGCGAATTATCCTTTCAATTTGACTTGGCATATGTGTGCTGAATGCGGCTCCTTCGCTCTCTTTGGGGTTTCTCAGGCTTTTCCCACTCCCTCTCCCTACCCCTCCTTTCTCTGACGCTTTTCTTCTCATCCCTCTGATAACTTTCTCTTGCGGGGGGAAAAATCGCATTTTAAATTTGAAATGTCTTGCGAGAGATTTCTTTTCTCTGCCGCTGCTGCTGCTGTTCTGCTTTCTGGGTGTTTTTCTTTTTTTGCTTGGCTCTTGGCCTTTTCCTGCTCTGCTTTTCTTGCCCCTGCCACCCTCCCAACCATACATTGACGTATGTTGCAAGTTCCGTTTGCATTTTCCGAATTGATTTATATTGAAAAGGGTTTCAAGACTTTGTCGACTTGGAGGAGTCTTCTCCCTTCCCACCGCGTTCCGCCTCAGTTGCGACCACTTCCTGGGGTCGTGCCACAGTCTCCTTGCCTACTGTCGACAGAGAACGGAAGTCAAATCAATTGCCTCATGTGGGTCCAATGGAGCCAGCAGTCACGTCTCATCCACTGACAAAAAGGGGCATCCACAATCCACAATGCACATCGACATCGACATCCATCCGATAGCGATGGCGATGGCTAATGCTGCCACAAATTGCGGCAAACGAGTTTGCAACATTTAATGATGATTTCATGTAGGTGCCGCCAATAAACTCAATGCTAAATATTCCATTATGAATGTCGTCGTCGTGGCTCTCGCAGTCTCGAGGCCTTTTACTCATTTGATTCCATAATTAGTTGCTAGAAAGAGACAGAGACAGAGAGTGAGAGAGTGAGAGAGAGAGCGCGATAGGTGGATATATGCAACAGGTTGTCAGGTTGTCGCACAGGCTCTGACGCATCCAAACTCTAGACTCTAGACTCTAGAGTTTTATTCTCTCTTTCTCTCTCTGTGTGTCGTCGATTGGCCTAAACGCTTTATGGCTTAAAAGTACCGTTGACAATGCGAGAAGATGAGCGCGCGCCCTGCAGGCCCGAAACGTTGCCAACTTTTATGCAAAATGCAAATGCATTTTGGCTCCAACTTCGACTCTGCGTTTGCATCCCCACATCCCCACATCCCCCCACCCCTCACACACTCACACTCTCTGCTGGCACTTTTTCGCATCTGATGGATGGCAAATGGCCCCAGCGCGCAGACGATGCGGCATGGCGGGGGGAGAGATGGGTGCTAGATGGCGGTGGGAAGTTAGGCGGATGGTTCGCTGCTTGGGTGCGGGATTGCATCTGAAAGAGTCACTGAACTGTGATTAGTCATGGCGATTCGTCTGTTGGCTTCCAACGAGATGTAACTCTTTCATTCCATAGAATTTCTTCATTCCAAATGGAGTTTTAGATCTGTTGCGTAGAGGCATAACTAAAGGAATGTATAAAATATTATTTATAATGCTCTCTGCCCTGGTATCCATTGAAAACTACGATTTTTTATTGATTTTTGTTAATTTTCTATGAAAATATTCCATTTTCTACACGGATTCTACATTGAATTACATTCTCCATCCACAACCGCACTTTATCCCCCTCTCACTCGCACCTGCACCAACAAGTGGCCCATAAAACCGCAAGCCTTCGCTTCTCCTTTTTGTGCAGTGGGAGATGGAGACGAAAATAAGAGCAGAAAATGTTCGTTCTGCATTAGCTGAAGCAAGAAGAGAGAGGATCGTGGCGAAGACGAGGAACTGTCGATTTCCAATGAGGCGTGGGAGAGCAATTAGGAAGAGAAACAGAAGGAGAGCCTGAAATGAGCTCAGCCGATAGCTCTCACAGCTTCCATAGTTCCTCCCGCACTTCATTCCAAATTCCAAGCGTTCATTTCCAAATCAGCTTCGCATTGTTTTGCTGCTTCGATCCGTGAAAAGCGCGAAACCGTAAAAATTCTGTAAATCCATCGGTAAAAACTGTCGCGTAGTGCGTAGATGCAGTGCAGTGTAGTTCGGCAGTGTTTAAAATTACAAAAATCCCCAAGCTTAAGTGTTTTGTGCGAAAAAAAGTAGTGCGTGGGTGGAAGCGGAACAAAGGCCAGAAAGAAATGTGTGTAAATATGTGCAAACGCAGTGAAGTGAATTACAGATGAAGTACATACATATCTGTACAGGGCACATATGTCAACATATTATTGAATGCATTTATTAATATTTTTACTGTGAAAATAAGCAGAGTTAACCAACGGAGCATCATCGGGTTCCGTTATGTCCAGAAGTGTCTCGTGTGTTTTTTTTCCATTCTGTCGCGCGTTGCTTGCGGTTTGTTTGCATGTGTGCGTGTAATAAGAATATGCAGAAAAGATACAAAGAGAGAGAGCGCGGGCACTCCAACTCGACCATGTAGTAGGCGAAGCAAAGAAGAGCAAAGTGTTACACTCTAATAAGGTGAGGCACTCCAAAAATTTTGAAGATGTCACCTCTCTCTCTCGCTCACGCACTCCAGCAGAATATGGGAGTATGCGTGGGAGTGTGCCCTCTAGTGTCTCAACCCTATAATTAATGCACCCAAAATGTGTGCTCTTATTGGAGTGTCTCTCGACAAATCGTTTTTCGTGTGCGTGGGCGGGCGATTGCGATGTTTAAATATCTAGAAAATAAGTGAAATTCGCGCGGGAAAAAGGCGATCGCAAGATTAAAAATTAAATTAAATATGCAGCGCTTAAGGTCATCATTTCATTGAGCAGCCACAGCAAGAAAAGAAGAGAACGAATGCAGCAATACCAATAAAACGGGACAACAATTAAGGTCAAATGGTAAGAGAAGGGAGGATATGAGGATATATATTTTTTTGTTATTCTTTAATATTCTCTTAAATATAAAAACAGATGCTCTGCGATTTGCATTGTTTTGCAGAACTGCAGTGAAATATCCCATCTTCCATACGCTTTCCACTTCTGACTGCATTCTGCTCACACAAAATCTAATTCAATTTAAATTCTCTCTGGATATCCTTCTATTACTGCCCCCCTACCCGTACTTGGCATGGATTCCTGATTGCCTGATCACTGTGTTTTCCCTAATTGAATGCTCTTTCAGCCCTGTTCTCGGTGCCTTGCAAATTGTTACCTTTCCGCCTAATGGAGGCTCTTGGACTCCTCCTGGACGCTCCTTGGACTCTTGGCCAAGAAATGTTGGTTCATAATTCATGGGTGGTTGTTGGGTGGCTGGTTGGGTGGTGGCCTGGGATGTGTGGACTGCGGTTGACGCTCCATGCAATTATGCGGCACAAAAAAACACCTTCGATTCCGCGAGCGAGCGCTAGGCGGACTCCCATAAAAGGCTCGCCTTCGATTCGAGTGGGCATATTATTTTATTTTAATTGAAACATTTATAGAACGGCCAGCAGCAGCAGCAGCAGAAACAGGAGAAGTAGTGGCGGGGGGGTTGCCACAGACGAGGCCGTTGCGGCAAGGTGTGAGAGAAAGAGACAATCGATTGAAGTGCCGATGTGTCGTAGTCGATGTCATTGATTTGCATTGGTGGAGTGCAGTGTTGTGGCGTGGATTGTATTGGATTGGGGGGTATGGGGCATGGTGCATCGGGTACGATGGAGACGACTCTCCATGTTGCACTGCTTGTCGCTTGTCACATTGACAGACGACGCTCCCCTCCTTGATGTTGCATGCCCAGGCCTCCTCCGGCCGCCTGCCGCTGACTGACAAACTACAAACGCAGACGCGTCTGCATGTTTGTTTAATTTTTTACTTAATTAAATTTGAATTTGTAATTTGCGCTCAACGCAAAACTATTTGGCGGCAGCAACAAAAACTACGGCACTACGGGACTACGACAAGGAAATCTGTAAGACATCTGCAAAAGCAACGTTCCTCGACGGCAATGCGGATACCCTTCCTTTGGGGCGAGAGAGTGTATATAGATTGAGAGGAGAGATATGCACTGCAGAAAAAGCAATTTTTTTCTGAACTTTCCAAGGAAAATCTTTCCCGTTTTGTGGAACCTTTTAATGCAAAATTAAAGAAAAAAAACGTTGGAAACCAAATTGTTGGACTCCCTGCGTCAAGATCACTCGACAATCGTTTCGAGGGTAGCAACAGATTCGACACACCAAACACCCACCATCTTTTTCGTGTTGAATGTTTTTTTTGTTGTTTTTTGTTGTTGTTTGTAGATGTTGCCTCTTAGCATTGAAAATGATGTACAAGTTGTTGCTGCGGCACAGACTAGAAGCAGGTGGAGTAGGAGAAGGAGGCCAATGCCTGTGCGCTGGTGCTGTGCCCCAAAGGAAGAGAACTGCAGTTGTGTCTGCCACGTTGGCCAGACGTTGCACTTGCAACACAGCACAACACTCCCACCCAGCACCCAGAGACTGCAGCCAGATCGCAGAGAGGCAGAAGATTTATCACATTGTTCCACAGATTGTCTGCAGATCTTTCACTATATAAAAATATATATAAATTGGGATCTTTGTGTGTGTGTGTGTGTGTGTGTGTGTGAGAGGCATGCACCCACAATCGAGAGGCGACTTGCGAGATGCGCGAGGACATGTGTGAAAAGTAGATGGAACTCTGCGGGCGCCCCTCGTCCGCCCGCCGAGCATTGAACTTCAATGCTGTTGCTGCTGTTGCTGCTGCTGCTGCTGCGAGGAAAACTATTTTGCCTCGTCTGTAATTTGCAATGATATGAGTGCCATGATATGCATTCCACCCAAAAAAAAAAAGAAAAAGAAAAAGAAATGAGGAAGATTCGCACTAAACAGATGTCGCGGGTAGGTGCAGGAGGTGGCTGCATGCACTCCCTGCGCAGTGGCAGTCGGAGAAAAGTGTCATCCACCATCCTCCATGCAGCGATGCGATGCCTTGGTCCAAGTGCTTGCCCCCATGTGTGGGGGAGTCGTCTGCTGCATCTGCTGCTGTTTCTGCTGTTGCATTGGAGGAGTCTGTCTGACTGACTGACTGTTGTTGCTCCATCCCATCCCATGTCCCATGTTGCATGTCAAATTGCATTAGATCATGACATTTCTGGGAAAACATAGACTTCATTTCTCTATAAATAGTCGTCGTAGAAGCCCAGCCACCCTAGCCGTCCCAGCCGATCATTCAAACTGTTGTCTGTGTGACGAATTTTATGTTTCAATCAGAGAATCGGACAAAACGGAGATTCACATAGATCTCTGAGGGAGAATCAAAAGTCTCTTTTGCTCCGGCGGTGGTCCAATCAAATATTTTAATAGGCCGCGCTCAAAGCGAATCGATTGGGTGGGGTGGTGAGGATTTGTTGTTATTGTTTTGTGTCTGTGGATCATCAAATCTCTTTCCCACACGAGAGAATCGGTAAATTAATAATCGGAAATCATTGGGCATTTCAATATTTCGAAAGTTTTTTAAGCACCGCGATTATTGGTCACCCACTGTGTCTGTGTGTGCCACAACCTTACGGCTCATGGCTCATGGCTGCCTCTAGCTTTTTGTCCAAATTCAAGTTAATTACTTTTCACTGCACTTGACTTTGGTCACACGCTCAATCTCTGGCACTGCCCCTCGCTGCTTGCAGCTCGCAACGTCCTCAGTCGTTGGCTGCTGCTGGCTGCTGCCTCTGCCACAGCAGCCACTGCCCGTTGGCTTTTCTCACCAGGGAAATCTTTCGCTCCCGCCAGCAAAAGCAGGAAACACACGCGCAGAGGAGACACATAAAGATATACGGAATCAAAAGGGAAAGAAGAGTAAGAAGAAAGGGTAAAGAGAGGGTAAAGAGTGGGGTGGAGAGAGAGAGAGAGGAGTGCATGTTAATTTTCCGCATGCTAAACTTTTAGCACAGTAGCAGCCGCCGCTGATGCCCCATTCCAAGCGCTAGAGAAGCGAAAGAGAGCCCGGCCCTGGACCTGGCCAGGCCTGGCCTCCTCCTGTAGGCATCGCGGGTGCCTGGGATTTCAGTGTGGATCTGGAATCAGCAGGAATCAGGGTGTGGGCATTGGTAACTGCCTTCCAACTGGCTGTCCCTGCCCCCCACCATCCTGCTTTTGGACATGCCTAAATCGCCGCTAAATTGTTATCTACGAGTGCGACGCGGCGCGGCATTTGCAGCTTTTCGGTCGTTTCGGGTGTTCTACCATTTTTGCCATTATACTCGTACCATTTAACCATCTTTTTGCCGCTCTTCTGGCATCTCTTTCGCTCTCTCTCCCTCTCTCTTTTCGGTTTGGTAATTAAAAACACATTCAATGTGCGGAAAATCACAGGCAGACATAAGCACAGCAGCAGCAGCAGCAGCAACATGCAGCATCAGCAGCCAGCCTCTACGTTGAGGCCTTAGAGTAGCGGGAGGGGATGTCCATTAACTCTTGTTTGTTGCAGCACCAATTTGACACATAATTCCATAACTCCATGCAACTCCACAGAGTGGCCAGAGTGCCTCCTACTCCTGCCTACTCCTGCCTCGCCTCCTCCCATGCTGCATTCTGATGCATTTATTTGCCTTTTTGGCAGTGCAAACAATTTTCGATTTATCGCCAGAACTCACGCGGTGACCACAGCACAGCAGAGCAGAGCAGAGCCCCCCATGCGTAGAGAAACGGAGCCTCCCAGCTGAATGAGAGGATTGGTTTTCGATAGAAAGAGAGGAGGAGGAGGAGGAGGAGGAGTAGGGGATATCGGGCAGTGCCTGGCCTGCCTGCCTGCCTGCCTGTGTGGCATGGCCTGTGTGTGTGGGTCGTGCGATTCTTGATCGTAATTGCATTTCATTACACGACTGGCCGTTGCTGTTGCTTATTGCCGTTGCCGTTGCCGTTGCCGTTGCCATTGCCATTGCAGTCGTTGCCTCAAGGTCGTGTCATTCAATTGGCAAAGTGCACATATTTACCATATTTACCATATTCTCCCCATCTAACTATCTACGAGTATATCTCGTGGTGTACATGTGGCATATCCAGAGAGCCCATAATCAATTGCAGATTTGTTTTATTGACTTTATTGTTGCGCGCGCGCGCTCGGGCCCCCAAGGGGCGGCAACTCTGCATTGGACATTTCGGACAGCAATGCAATTCCATTGGAAAAAAATAAGAACTCCATTCCGGTTGACAATCGAGCAGAATCGAAACGCATAGATATTCTTTTCTTTGTGGAGGTGATTGAAATTCTCTTTTTTCGTTCCTGTCTCTGGCAAAGGCCCCCTTGCATGTTTTCGCTTTTCTGCTAGGAAGGGCATAATTAATATTATTATTATTATATTTTTCTATTATTTTAATTTGCCCTTTTTTTTGGGCTGTCAAACTTTAACTGACAGTTAAGCTCCTCCATGTTGCATGGCCAATCTGCCAGTCCACTGCCGCTGCTGCTGCTGGAGTGTCTGGGCTCTTGGAAAATGAAGTGTTTTATGACATATTTAACATTTAAGCTACCATTTTAGCATTTTATGCATTATGCACATTATCCACTTAGCGCAAATTGCCCCCGCCGCCGCCCCCTGATACACACACACACATATACTCTTACACAAGTACACTCGTATATTAGGTGCGATGCCGCCACGCCAAAAAAAAAAGCCCCGAAAAGGAGTCAAGTGGATGGGGCAGGGTATATTCAGTAATAAGGTAATGCAGAACCAAGCTTGGGATTTGCAGTCCTGTGCATGAATTTACTGAATACATTTTTTAGGCAACTCTTAAAGATACGAGAGATAAATAACTTTAGTCATAATTTATAGTATAACCTACAGGACTAACCAAAATTGTTACAATCGGATTATTATTATTTTATTATTATTATTTTATTCTTATTATTTTATTATTATTAATTAT